ACAGGGCAAAACATAAGTCCCCGTTTTCGGACTGCGTCCGAACGGGGACTAAAAATGGTTATCGTACTGTGACGTCTTGACACACTCACCTGTATGCATTTCAAAATCACCTTCTTGTTGTGCATAACCGGAATACGAGTAAGGATCATACTGGAAAAGACCAAGTTAGATATGACAGATGATAAAAAAAGTCTCAATAAGTTCATGTAAAGTTAAAGAAATAAGTAATACAACACTTTTAATGTTGATCAACGAATTTTAGAATAAATGACTTTGACTGAACGCGAATTATTAAAAAAATGCAGATCAAATCAGTCACAGACAGAGCTGGAGAAACACAGTTCACACATGACACGCTGGGGTAAGTCAATCAACGGTGGTTTTACGAGTCTAGAAGTATGCAAATCAGATCATACTATTATTTTACCTCAGTACCGGCAGCCGCCTCGACGAATTCTTCAGGTTGATTGTACATTTCGGCAGTTTTCAGAAGTCAATCATAAAAACACGCCGTCTTTCTTCGATTCAATATGGCGACTAAATCATGCTCCCTAAGTTATTGTTGAACATCCTATATTGAACTTTGACCTGTGAACATATTCCCGCCGCGTTAAAAGGTATATCAATCCGGATGGACTACGGGGTTTGTCCGGTCCACGTGTAAACACATTACGGCGGGCACCGATCCATTCCGATCTCTCTTGTTCCTCAGACCACTAACATTGTACATATATATATTTATTTACAAAATTACAAAACATAAACAAAAAATACCCAGAATTTAAACCACTGAACATTATCATGCAATTTATGATCATTTTTTTCAAAAAACATGAGCATGCTTCTACCTTCAATATGAATACAATATGGGTACTGTACTACTTTAGTATAATAAATATACTCCTACTATTGGGTGCTGTGCTCTTATTTTGCTGTCTCGTGGTCAAGTTTTTTTATATATAAATTTGGCCAATGCAATATTCATTGCAATGTTTTTATTTCCAATTATCATTTGGTTCTCTTCTGTAAAATTTGTGAAATAATTTATTTCTATTCCGACTTCCTTGTATAAAATCTTTCTTTGATCGCTGTAAAAAGTTCATGTTGTTATAAAATGTTATTCGTCTTCTGCTTCATTCGTTGAGCAAAGATTGCAGATTTATTTTTCTGTTGGTAATTTCCATTTAGTATGCCTACCTGTTTCGATTTTGAGGTCGTGGTTATCTAAACCAGAGACCGTAAAAATACTGTAAAATGACTAATTTTCACTGGGTTTAAATTTCACTGATTTACCATTTCAGGCATATTCAGTGGGTTTTAAATTCACGGTTTCGTCATTTAGATAATGTGTTTATGCTAAATTTTACATATTCACTGTGTTTTAATTTAGCGCATTTTTCCAGTCTGCGAAATAAGCTAAATTAAAACACAGTGAATAATTACCCCCTTTACAGTATTGTATTTTTTGTTAGCATTGTTAAATAATGTTCTATTTCCATTTTTTTTAATTCTCTGTATGTCCTCAGTTTGTTTTCCCTGGCTTGATATGTTGGTGTTATCTGAATTTTTTTTTTTTGTTCCAATGAATGATGAACATTTTTCTATTTTTTCTGTTTGTTTTTCTTTGTTTAGTGCTTGTTTGTATAGTATCGGTATCATTAATTGCGTTTCAAAAATCTTATCTAGTTTACTATTTTAGTAAGCATGTAAGTAAGTAATTTATTATAGTGACATGCAGCTCAAGGAACTGCCCAGCCCAGTGGACTTATAAGTCACCTTAAATAATAACGATTACATTTACAAATAAAGGTTATGAAAGAGAGCTTGAAATAATATATCAACAATACAATCGTGTAGTTCATAACGCTGCTTCCTTCACAAGTTCGTTTGGTGTGTTCATTGCTCGACTTTGTCTTTTGATAAAAACATCTAATGGAAATATTCCATATATTCCCATTGTGGGAGTATTTTTCCTCACACCGACTAGGATGAATAGTGTAGATGAACATCTTCTATGTCGGATTTGTAAGAGCTCTCGTCCCCCAAATATCACTACCGTATACAAGTGTTGGTCTAATCACAGTCCCTCTATCATCGAAGAGTAACAACATTGTAGATTAGATTTATCGCCAACTTTTTCTTTCAGTGAGAAAAAAGCTTTTTGCCATTTTTGTTATCGCTTCCTTTAATTTTCCATAATACGCCTAAAATAATTCCTAAAAAATCAAATTGTTCTTGTTCAAGGTGGAGATACTAATTCGAAGACAGTAAAAACCTAGAAAACAAGAATACTAAGTATACTTATCTGGTCCAAAGAGAAATTGTGTCAATGATCAATAAAAACAACTTGGACAATGACAATCTGACTAATTACCAACAATTTGGGAAGTGTGGCAATCCGAAACACCGGGTACTTTTACTGTAATTTTATAACATTTTTTTGTAAAACGGGACATATTCGGGTTAATCATCCGATTTACGATTAGCTCAGTCATTAAAATTAATAGGGTCATACAGCTCCTTAACCACATCTTCCAACTTGACGTACCGTTACCGGGCGTTCTGGTCTCATTGTGGAGGTAAATGGTCCCATTAACTGGACAATTCCTATTTTATTGTGCACATCGCTGTTATAATCCGTGGTTGGGGGTGAGGTTGGTATGGACAACCATTTTATCTTCTCCGAGAGATATTACGAGTTAATAAATATTATTGTTAACAACAATGTATTTTACACGCATTGTGTACGTCGATATGGTCCCATACCGAACTGGGAGCGCGACGACCCATGTTCTTTAAACTCAGATTTAATTTAATTTTTATGTTTTCTTTTGTTATTATTTTTTGGTTTCACTTGCCGTTATAAAACTCTGCGACCAATGAGGTCCAATGTAGAAAGGTCAAGTCGGCCATTCCACAAATGTCATGTCAAATGCATGTCTTAAATTCCTTCCTTCCTATCTTTCCTTCTATACTAGTGAAATGTTTAACTGTATTTTACAAGTTGATTAGGGCACAATGGATGCATCATAATTTCTCTGGTGTTTGGCTTTTGAGGTAGGATAGACAAGAGTGTGACATTTGACCTGCCTGAAGAACCCAAATTGCTACACTCCCCCACATTTCCTGTTTTGGATTTGTGTTCCGCTGAAATAGACAATGATATTTTTGTTGAAAATGATTACTCCGTCGTCACGGTATCCGAGTAAATTTGAAATATTTCTCGTGCTGCAGCCACGCATTTCAGACTCCAGCCGAAGAAAAAGTGCGCCACCAAATGCCAAAATATGAGAAAATTGTATAAGACAGGCCCGTAGTTTTTTTTTTTTTTTTTTTTTTTTTTTTTTTTTTTTTTTTTTTTTTTTTTGGGGGGGG